ATATATATATATACATACATATATATATATACACATACATATATATATATACACATACATATATATATACACATACATATATATATATACATACATATATATATATATATATATATATATATATATATATATATATATATTAAAAATGTGACACATGGTAAGATGTTGTGCCCACCATAGTTGTTTCTTTACCCAAAGCTGCTCAACTCTTCCTCAAGACCCATGATCTTATCTATGCCAGTAGACCACCTCTTGAAGTTGCAAAGTACATCGCTTGGGAGCAGAAGAACTTAGCTTTTGCTCAATATGGTTCTTACTGGCGCAACACTTGTAAGATGTGCATGTTAGAATTACTAAACCAAGCCAAAATTAACTACTTTAGATCCTTGAGGGTATTGAGTTTATCGAGGATGAGGGTATTGGGTTTATCAAGGAAGAGGTTCTCTGTGGGTTACATAAACACACTCGTCTGAGCCGGTCACTAAGACAAATCATCGGCTCTGATACTACTGTTGGGTCTATCGACTTTGTGGGTTATACAAATACAAATAATATCTGAGCAAACTATATATAAGAGATCAACACCACTCTTTATCAAAAACCTTAAGGCAGATAATGAGTCTTTTATCTTTATATACTGCTCTACTTTCTCATTTCTATCCAATGTGAGACTTAGACTCACTTGGATTCCCAATAGAAGGATGCAGAACTAGACCTGTTGGTGAAGCATCTGAGAGAGGCAGCCAAGGATGGAGCTGTGGTTGATCTAAGTGCCAAAGTTGCAGCACTCATTGCAGACACTGCTTGCAGAATGATTTTAGGGAAGAAGTACATGGACCAGGACTTGGATGAGAAGGGTTTCAAGGCCGTGATGACAGAGATAATGTACTTGGCAGCAACTCCTAACATAGGCGATTACATTCCTTACATCGGTAAACTTGACCTTCAAGGGCTAATCAAGCGAATGAAGGCAATGCGAAAAGTCTTCGATGAATTCATTGACAAAATAATCGATGAGCATATTGAATCAAAGAAGGAGGAGAACAAGGTGAAGGACTTTGTCGACGTGATGTTGGGATTACTCGGTACTGAAGAATCGGAGTACTGCGTTGAAAGACCCATTATCAAAGCCATATTGCTGGTAAGGGATATACATTGACTATCAGTTTTCTATCTTTTCTTCTCTTATTCCAAGTGCCATATATAAGTTGAATTGATGCTCTCATTCTTTCACGCTTTTTTGTTTATTTTATTTTAAAAAGGATATTTTAGCTGGTTCAATAGATACTTCTGCTACAACAATAGAGTGGGCACTTTCGGAGCTGATAAAGAATCCAAGGGTGATGAAGAAACTCCAAATTGAACATACTTATATTGTGTATGTGTTTAAGTTGATGTGTTGTGTGTTTATGTTGATGTGTTGTGTTTATGTTGATGGGTTGTGCATGTCTTTATGTCTTTAGGTTGATATATTTAGGTGGACTAAAGCTTCTTTGACACGCCTAAATATTTAACATTTATTTGACACTATCCTTACTTTTTATTCTTTTCTTTTTTGAAACAATACAAAAGTTTACACTTTTTTGACCATTTTATCCTTGTAGCCTGTGTCAAATGAATGTAAAAGTGTGTCATAATATCATTACTCAGTTTAGGTGGCCATAATGTAGTTTGGTTTGAGCCTTGAAACAATATGTTTTGTTGGTTGTTGGTCATGTACGTTACCATATCAATTAATTGCTACAATTATAACTAGAAACAAAATTACTATTATCAAATATATTTATTTTAATATATTTAAAAATATATAATCAATAATAATTTTAATAACAAAATTTTAATAATTATTGTGTATAATTAATTAATTGACAAAATTAAAAAACAAATAAAATTTAATTAGAAACACAATTAATACTATCAATTATAATTAGAAAAATAATTAATACTATCAAATATATTTATTTCATTATATTTAAAAACATATAATAAAAAATAATTTTAATAATTATTGTGCTAATTAATTAATTAATTAAATTAGAAAACAAATATAATTTAATTAAAAACATATCTAATACTATCAAATATAATTAGAAACATAATTAATATTATTAAATATATTTATTTCATTATATATAAAAACATATAATCAAGAATAACTTTTATAACAAAATTTTAATAATTATTGTGTATAATTTAATTAATTAATTCATAAATTAGAAAAAAAATATAATTTAATTAAAAACATAATTAATACTATCAATTATAATTAAAAACATAACTAATACTATCAAATATATTTCATAATTAATATTATCAAATATATTTATTTCGTTATATTTAAAAATATACAAGAATTAACACCGCTTTTTTAATGCAAGGCAGTGACGGTGAACTGTTCGAGTGTATTTGTGATCCATAAAGCAGATATATATGATACTCTGGTTCTCATCATATTTTCAACACCATCCAGCTCCTCACAGCCTTCTTGCTTTTGGAAACAAAGATGAACACTGATATCCAATTGTTACTTGAACTCTGCCAAATAGATAAGATGATTTTGATGGCAATTCTTTTAGCGTCTCTTGCTTTTCTGTGGCTTTGCAGAAGCAAGAAGAAGGCAGATAACTTGCCACCTGGTCCCACTGGGTTGCCAATTTTCGGAAGTCTTAACAAGTTGGGAGCAAATCCACATCGTGATCTGCACCAACTGGCTCAAAAATATGGACCTGTCATGTACTTACGCTTAGGTTTTGTGCCCACCATTGTTGTTTCTTCACCCCAAGCTGCTAAACTCTTCCTCAAGACCCATGACCTTTTGTTCGCCAGCAGACCACGTTATCAAGCAGACAAATACGTCTCTTGGGGGCAGAGGAACTTAGCCTTTGCTGAATATGGCTCTTATTGGCGCAACATGCGCAAGATGTGCACGTTGGAATTGCTGAGTCAAACCAAAATTAATTCCTTCAGAAGCATGAGGGAAGAGGAGCTTGACCTGTTGATCAAACTTCTAAGAGAGGCAGCCAACGATGGAGCTGCTGTTGATGTCAGTGCAAAGGTTTCAAAGTACAGTTTAGACATGGCTTGTAGAATGATATTAGGGAAGAAGTTTATGGACCAGGACTTGGATGAGAAAAGGTTCAAGGCTGTGATGCAAGAGGCGTTGCATTTAGTAGCAACCACTAACATGGGAGATTACATTCCTTATATCGGTGCACTTGACCTTCAAGGGATAACTAAGCGCTTAAAGGTGGTTCACACAATCTTCGATGACTTCTTCGAGAAAATTATTGACGAGCACATGGAATCAGGGAAAAGAGAAGACAAGACAAAGGATTTCGTGGATGTCATGTTGGCCTTTCATGGTACTGAAAATTCTGAACACCGCATTGAACGAGCAAATATTAAAGCCATAGTGCTGGTAAGAAAAATGAAAACATTTGGCTTTTCCCTCATACATTAAAAAAAGCTAGTTAATTTGCTCTTGTACTGATTTTTACATCTGCTTGTCATATTCTTACTCTTATTTGACAATTTTCTGGCACAGGATATGTTGGCTGGGTCAGTGGACACTTCTGCTACATCAGTAGAGTGGGCAATTTCAGAGCTGCTAAAGAATCCAAGGGTGATGAAGAAAGTTCAAATGGAACTGGAAAGCGTGGTGGGTATGGAGAGGAAGGTGAAAGAATCAGACTTAGAGAAGTTAGAGTATTTGGACATGGTTGTAAAGGAAAGCCTGAGACTGCATCCGGTGGCACCTTTGCTGATACCACACCAGTCCATGGAAGACTGCATGGTTGGAGAGTATTTCATTCCTAAAAAATCAAGGGTTATGGTGAATGCATGGGCTATTATGAGAGACCCAAGCGTTTGGGATGAAGCAGAGAAGTTCTGGCCAGAGAGATTTGAAGGAAGGAACATAGATGTGAGAGGGCATGAGTTTGAGCTGATACCATTTGGGTCTGGCAGAAGGCAATGTCCAGGAATGCAACTTGGTCTAACTGTGGTTCGTAAGACATTGGCTCAACTTGTTCATTGTTTCGATTGGAAACTGCCAAATGACATGTTGGGAGATGAGTTGGAAATGACAGAGAAGTTCGGACTCACAATGCCAAGGGCCAATCATCTATTTGCCATTCCTACCTATCGACTTTCCCATTAGAGGGATTGTTAGGGCAGGAAAGATGCTGCATGTACCATTTGTCACATTCAGATATAATCAGGGAAGAAAATTTCCTTGCATTTTGTGAGGATTCTTTCAATATGATTTATGGAAGTAGATCACTCTTTCCCTTCCTTATTCACAAATAAATATTATGTACATCACACTCTTGAAACCAATAAAGTTTATTGTTGTCTATGTCTTCGTCTAATATCTAGCAGAGTCTCTGGTGGAGTCTGGTCTAGCATCTAATATCCATGCTTAATACGGCCATTGGAAAGACCCCATTTTGTCTCCTCCTTTATGATTAATTATTCTGGTATTTTGCATTCTTCCATACGAGTAAATAAGCATACAAGGGTTCGCATCGTCTTTCTTCTCTTACATTATTAAGCTGTCATAAAAAAAAGACATTTTGATTTCATGACATTAAAAAAAAACATCATGTATAATTTATACGTTAATCAATAGATTTTAAACTAACATAGAGGTAAGAAAAAAATAGTATATGCCATAATTTATATATTCATATATAAATTCAATGTGTATGTAAAAAAAGTTAAAAGCCTCTTTATCCAAAATAAATCAATTATTAATGAGCAATAAATTTTTTGGATCTTACCGTAATCTTAAGTGTAGATTTGCATATAATAAGATTGTAGCGATTATCTGATTGTTCTTGATGACTGGTTAACGAATTTCTTGCGGTTAAGAGGGAGGAAGTTCTTCTACGAAAAACTCTCTTACACTCAAGTCAATAATATAAGACCTTTACGTGTAAGTAAATATAAGTGTTTATAAAGTTAGTATTCATTTGGGAGTACTAGTTGTATTTATAGGATCAACATGAATTATGACCTATGTTTCTATTGTAATAATACTTATGCCAGAAGTATGATAACAGTATAATAAATAATAACAAAATGGTAAATAATAATCAACACACAAAACTGTCAAAATTTAGTTATAATATATGTATTTATTCAAACAAGGATAGATTTAGACTGCTTTATAATGAAGAAACTTAAAAGACCTTATTTGATTGTGTTTTTTAATATGGTTATTGAGCTGGTTTCATTAGCAAAACAATTCTCAATTGTTTGAGGACAAAAAGTAGAAACATACTTTAATTAGTCATTGAAAAAAAACATAATTAACTTGTATACAATCTTTCACTATAGAACAGTTCTTTCTTGATTTTCTTTTATGATAGGATGAAAAAAAAAACTTCTTTCTTGAATTTCTTTTATGATAGGATGAAAAAAAAACTAGAAAAATTGTACGTAAGATCATGATATATATGCTTTTAGCTATAATTTAATAAAGAATTGTGTACATAGATTAGTTGGTGTTTATAAAGGGAGAAGATTAAATAATAAGGTTATATAGTAAAGTATAAAGATAGGAAGTTTAGTGAAGCTATAGGTTTTTGTTTTTTGGAGTTGGCTAAATAAAGTCACTCACATTTCTATAAAGATTTGGGTTTCGCTTTTTAGCTGTAGAGGAAACTCTTCGAACAGTGAAGTATTATTTGGTAGAATTCCAGAGTTAAATATTTTGAATAGGAATTCTTTACTTGGAATTCAACTTTCCATGTTGCTTATGACTTTATTATTTGGCCTCTTTTCTCTTCAACATGCCTTTTTGCAACTTTTCTTATGACATTCAACATTATGAAAAATAAATTTTCTGCATAGTACATAATGTTTTCTCTAAATTGAGAGTTCTTATTCTAATTTTAGTGTAACTTGTAGATTGCAAGTTAATATTTTTTTTTTCTATCTCTCTTTCTGTTCCTGTACCAATGTGTATACCCATTTTCAGATTTGGTGGGGGAACGTAAACATTGCTTAAACTTTACCAATAAAAATGTCCATGTTCTCAAAATCTACAGTTGACTTCAAAGTTTGGTTGGAAATCTAAGTTTGAGTTCAAGTCTCACATGAGATAAAAATGAGAAAGAATAATAGTATATAAAGGTGAAAGACTCATTGTCTTAAGATTTTGAGTGAAGAGTGGTGTCGATCTCTTATATAGTTTGTTCATATGTTATTAGTGTTTGTGAGTTTTACACTATCATTTCATTGTAACTTGTGGTGTTAATCAATCTCCTTTGTGTGTTTCCTGATTTAGAAATTTTAGGGTACCTCTGTTTCCATCGTGTCATTGTTTTATTAGTATGCTTGAATTTATTTTCAAAAAAATATTTGAAATGAACTAATCATAAGTCGTCACATCTGCTTTGTCAAAAAGTTGTTAAAAAATCATTTTCCTTTCCCCAATTGGTGAAGGGGTTAGGTGTACATTGTTCATCAAGCAGCAATAAAAATAAGACGTG